TGTTCCAACATCGTTGGTGACCTTTGGGTTTACACTGGTCCTCCTCCTCGGCCGTATTGGTTTCCTGTCTCTCGCCGCTCCCCCGTGCAAGGTCCAGGGCACGCGTGTCGCCTCTTGTCGTTTCAGTTCGTTCGTTCCGTCGCTCGTCCTCAGCACGCTCTCAAGAACGCCGATCTCTGCCCCGATCTCTGCCCACCCCCCGTCGATCCTCAGACTCCCACGGTCCGTGCCAGACCTACCACATCCAGCTTCTGTGTTGTATGATCCTGGGTACACGCGCCACGTGCGACCGATGCCGTGCTCGCCCTGCCGCGAGCACAGCTGGGGGATCCTCACTGAGGGGGTCCCTACCGAAGGCATCCATACCTTACTCGGGACCCTTTTACATAAGGCACCCATAAAGAATAAGGAACCCTTACCAAATGACGTATTGCAAAGGAGGTCGCACTACAGGGGGGTCCTTACTGAAGGGGTCCTTACTCAATGCTTCCCCAATTATAATAAGGAGGTATCATTAAAGACATCGGTACCAAGGATTGGTTTGTGAAAGTATCTTCACCCAGGAACCCCACCCGTCTTAAAGAGCCATTGCTAATAGAAGTAATCGCACGGGAAGGGTACTCCAGGGGTCCTTATCGAGAGGGCACTTAGTAAAAGAATCCTCCGTTAGGGGGCCGTACTAAAAGGACGATTGCAAAGGATCATGCATTACAGGTATAAGAGCCAGGGGGCCTGTACTAAAGGAAGCATGCGCAATGAATCATTACACCTGGGATCCTTACTGAGGGGATCCTTACTAAAGGCATCCTTGCTGAGGACACCTCACTTAAGGGATCTTTGCTAAGAACTCCTTATTACAGGGAGCCTTACTAACGAAGGCTTAACACATATATCCTCATTAAGGACCCCCCAGTAAAGGGAATCTTGCTCAGGATCCCTTGATAAAAGACATCCTCACGAACGATACATTACTAAGAACATGTACTAAGCATCTCCCACTAAAGGAATGGTCACTAAGGATCCCTGCAAGTTTCTCAGAAGGAATTCGACCCCCGAACCCCTTTCCAGACTTGCCACGTCCAGCTTACATGTTGTATGATCCTGGGTACACGTGCCACATGTTTCCGAAGCCGTGCTCGCCCTGTCGTGAGCACAACTGCGCAACTACTACCCCGAGGCCGCGCTCTTTCGCTGCAGCCGTGGCGCTGGAACGGGCTCACGTGGCGGCTCAGCCTGGCCGAGCCAGCCCGAAGACGCTGGCGACGGTCTCCTCGGCCGAGACGCTGCTGAGCAGCCGGCCACCCGGCAAGACCGCGTCGAATCGCCAGACTCCGGGTCCCAGCCTGCCCGCACGGTGGTCGGCCAACAGCTGGCTGTAGATGTCCACGAGGAGGGTGGCGGGACCCGACTCGGTTCTGCAGCGCTCCGCCCCGCAGAAGCTCACGAGGCGCATCGAGTCGCCGTCGAGCAGCGCCTGCAGCAGCAGAGGTGGCAACAGGTGCGCTGCGTAGGTAAGGCCCGCGACCAGCGCAGGGAAGTCGCACTGATCCTCGTCATTGCGGCCGCAGGCCACGGCGGTGCCGTCGCTCCTGAGCAGGACGGTGTGACCACCCCCAGCGGCCACCTGCGTATAGGTCAGGCCCGCGGCCAGCACTGGGAGGTCGCATCGACCACCATCATTGCGGCCGCAGGCCACGGCGGTGCCATCGCTCCTGAGCAGGACGGCGTGAGGACCTCCAACGGCCACCTGCGTATAGGTCAGGCCCGCGGCCAGCGCTGGGAGGTCGCATCGACCATCAACGTTGCGGCCGCAAGCCACGGCGGTGCCGGCGCTCCTGAGCAGGGCGGTGTGAAAACCTCCAGCGGCCACTTGCGTATAGGTCTGGCCCGCGGGCAGCGCCGGGAGGTCGCACTGATCCTCGTCATTGTTGCCGCAGGCCACGGCGGTGCCGTCGATCCTGAGCAGGGCGGTGTGAAAACTTCCAGCGGCCACCTGCGTATAGGTCAGGCCCGCGGCCAGCGCTGGGAGGTCGCACTGATCCTCGTCATTGTTGCCGCAGGCCACGGCGGTGCCGTCGCTCCTGAGCAGGGCGGTGTGAAAACCTCCAGCGGCCACCTGCGTATAGGTCAGGCCCGCGGGCAGCGCCGGGAGGTCGCACTGATCCTCGTCATTGAGGCCGCAGGCCACGGCGGTGCCGTCGCTCCTGAGCAGGGCGGTGTGAAAACCTCCAGCGGCCACCTGCGTATAGGTCAGGCCCGCGGCCAGCGCCGGGAGGTCGCACTGATTCTGGCCGTTGCGGCCGCAGGCCACGGCGGTGCCGTCGCTCCTGAGCAGGGCGGTGTGCTCACCTCCGGCAGCGAACATTCGCGAGACCCCAGCGCGGGTCGCCCGCCGTCGGGAGGAGGCGCGCGGGTGCCACGGGGCGGTCCCTGCTTCGAGCCAGGGGCGGGCCTGGTGCAGACGAGGCTCCGCGGCGCGGAGGGGGGGGGTCCAGAGTGGGTTCTGGGATGCCTAGGGGGCTGACCAGCGGCTAGGGGTGCCTCGTGCCCGCGAGATTGGGATGTATGCTCGGCCCTAGGTGATGATATACGTCCCTGGGCTCTGGGCCCACGGCCCGCTCCCCGGATGGGATGGGTCCGACGACGACGACGTCGGCGACGACGGCGACGACGGCGACGACGACGACGACGACGACGACGGACCCCCTGATGGGATGAGTCCGACGACAACGACGACGACGACGACGACGATGTTCATCTTCGCTCCTCCCATGATTCACGAGCAGCACGCAAGCAAAAATGACAGGAATGGCCGAAGGAGAAATATCGAGCCCTTTTCGGAACCAACGTGGCCATTGACTCTAAAGTTGAAATGCATCTACCCCGCGACATCCCCGCAGTAACGTCAATATCATGGTTCCTCCCCCAAACAATTACACATCATGGATACTATTATCCTCTCCCTTGACTCCATCCGGAAGATGTTTGACCCTCCCCGCGCATTGTGTTTACATGCAGTGCGCTTCTAAGAATAGGTGTTGTGCAATATGTGTGGAGCTATCCAAGTAGTGCTACAAATGTGGTGCAATGTCTGTTGTGCAACAGACAGGTGCAATTTACGTTGCGCGATCTAGGTTGTGCAATCTGGGGGCAACGTATGTGGTGCAATTCACATTGCAGCACTTGAAATCGACAACTCCACTGCCCGCGCAATCATCCCACCCACCCACCCGCAACCTGATTTGCAAAACCCGTGCGGCGGCGATTGCGAGGACTGCCTGGCGCTGGCTGGCGCATCGCTGCGGCTGCACTCTCGAACGCAGGCTCGCGCGCGCAGAACGGCCAGCTACTTTGGCGCGACCGACGCGGCCGCAGTGGCGCTGACCGCTGGGGCCCTCCCAGCGCGTCTCGCCGGCCGCGCTGACGCGCGGGAACCTCAGTGCGAGTCGGTGACTCGGGCGGGCGCGGTTTCATGGCGACGTCAAAAACGGCAGATAAGATGATGCTAATAGCGAGAATGGAGACGATGATGGCGATGACAACAGCAAGGCCAATGACGGCGCCGATGCTGGTTACGCCGACGGCGACGATGGTGTCCACGTGTCGGTGACGAAGCTATTCGAAGGATTTCGACATGCGCGCGCGGCCGACGCGGGCGAGCGGCCCGCATGGCATTAGTTCAGTAGTATCGGTATTATTGCTACTACGTCTGATAATTATTCTTAGTTGTATTATTATGTTTCTTCTTCTTAGTTAACAGAGATCGTCCCCCCCCCCAGCAAGCGCAAGCGCAGGTTTGCGAAGGATCTCGACGTGCGCAAGAGCGAGAGGTCCGCTCGGCCGCAGGTGTTCAAAAATGATGAGAAATCAGCGATTGGTTCCCCCAAAAGCTCGCAAGAGGGCGCGCGCGCCGATTGCTGCTTGAAAAAAAGGATAATGCGAAACCAAAAGTGTATGGGTGTCTCTGGATGCGATGTCTTTTTGTTGGCGGGGAGCCTCCGTGGCACTCCGTCGCAGTGGGCCCTCATACTCCCCCCCGTTGGTCACAATATGGCTGTGGTGCCTGCCCCATTGCTGGTTGGTGGTGGTGGGGGGGACCTTCGTTACTTTCCCCCCCCTTTCCCAAGGGGGGGGGGGGAGATCCCATGAGCGCGTTTCTTGATGTTCGGCGATGACGGGCGTCATGGGGGGTGGGGGGCGAGGGGGGGTATGACGTAACGCCCCCCCCCGCCGTGTGGCTCTGGCACCGCCGCCGCGCCCGCGCGCGCGACGCGACGAGCGACGAGCGACGAGCGACGACGACGACAACGACGACGACGAACGATGACAACGGCGACGACGACGACGACGACGACGGCGACGACGACGACGCGAGCAGCATGTAGGTGGCGATATGCCCAACTGCGCCTGTGTACACCACAACGCTCGCGTGCACCACAGCGCGAGTGCATACCACAGCGCCTGCGTACACCGCAACAACAGTGTGCAACGCAGCGCCTGTGTACACCACAGTGCTTGCATACACTACAGCGCCGGTGTACATGTGCACACCGCAACTACCATGTGTAACACAGCGCCTGTGCACACCACAATGCTTGCGTGCACCGCAGCGCCTGTGCACGCCACAGCGCGTCTGAACACCACAGCATCTGCGTGCAACGCAGCGTTGGTGTACACCACAATGCCTGCGTGCATAGGACAGGTGAAGCATGTACGTGAGGATCTGCTGCGGACAACTAGACGCCACACAACGAAAGTGCTGAGAATCGACTGCGACGTTCTTCCCTCCTTCTTCCTCCACCTCCACCACTCTCCTCCTCCTCCTCCTCCTCCTCCTCCTCCCCCTCCTCCTCCTCCTCCTCCTCCTCCTCCTCCTCCTCCTCCTCCCTACCCCCTGTTGCGCGGGTTGGCGCTACAGCGCGCGTGCGCATCTCAGCGCGCACCGCAAAATGGTCGATTGAATCGGTCCACTTGGTTCTCGGGCGGCCAATTTAGCTGGAGCTTCCTGGACGCAGATGGGAGGAGTTAGGGTGATGCGGGCGGACTCGGGGGGACTCGTAGATTCCAGCGGCGCTCCGTCGCCCATAAGGAATATGTTATATTGTTTTCTGTGGAATCCACAAGCGCTCCATTGAGTCATAAAGGATTCGCTAAAACATTCTATATACAACGGTGGTGATGTGTTGCACACGGTTGCTGTGGTGCACACAAGCGCCATGGTGTTCACAGGCACTGCAATGCACGCAGGCATTGTGGTGTACACTGGTGCTGAGTTGCACACGGCTGATGTGGTATACGCAAGCGCTGCGGTGTGCACAAGAGCTGTTGTGCCCGCAGGCACGGTGGTACAAACTGACGCAGTGTTGCACGCGGCTGCTGTGGTGTACATAGGCGGTGTGGTGTACACACGCGCTGTGGTGCACGCAGGCATTGTGGTGTACACAGGCGTTGTGGTGCAAATCGCCACCTACATGCTGGCGCTACCCGTCCTCCTTTATTCCTAAGAATTCCCACACGCCGCCAGCGCAAAACGTGACGACATCGACCCCGTCCGCCCCCACTAGATGATTGCCGTCATCGGCCCGGAATAAAAACAGGCTTCAGCCGCGTCCGCGCGCACGACGACTATGAGCGACGAGCGACAAGCCACGAGCGACGACGACGACGACGACGACGACTGCGGACCAGACTCCTATGCGGATTCCTACGCGGACACCTACGCGGATCCCAAAACGCACGGCGGCAGTGCCCGGAGCGCACTGGGGGGGGGGGGAGCGTTACGTCATGGGGGGGTGGGGGGTGAGCGGGGGCCATGACGCCTGTCATGCCCCAAGCCTCTGTCCTGGCCGCGTGGCCGATGGAGAACCAGAAACTGGGGTGCCCATATGCATCCCCCAGTGGGGTGCTCATAGAAATCCCCCAACCTTGTCCCCGGACCCCCATGCCACAAATTCCTGGGGAACACCAACTCTACAGCGCTCCCCCCGTCATCCCACCTCATGGGAGTGCGCATCTTGCCCCAACACCCCCAAATGCCCGAATCGATCGGGTTGCAGCATACTCCGCAAGAGAGCTCAGATTCAGGCCGCCGGACCCCGGACACTTTCAATGGGACCCTGGGACACACGAATACATGACACAAATGACCCGGTTCCCCATATGTTCCCATATTTTCTTGGTTTTTGTCTTGCCCCCCACCTCCCATATTTTCCCAAATTTTCTGGGGAACCCGGCCGCCGGACCGCCAGACACTTCAGTGCGAGATGCAACTCGGGAATTCCAATGGTTCCTGAAACCTGGGGAACACTGATCCCATGAATCGGTCCTGCGACGGCCAGACTGGGAACTGTCGTGCCTCCAGTCCTGAGTTGCTTCGGTTTCGGAAGAGTTGATACTGAAAGCCTGACGGGACCTGAGGTGTCTGCAAAAGTTCTGGCATGCGCGCGCGACGACGCGCGCGTCGAGTTGACCCATCTCTTGCTAGGAATTGCGACACATGAATTAGAATGAAACTCTTGGGACGTTTTTGTCAAACCAAAAACGCCCAGACGTGCCCAAAACTGCCCCCAAAAGCCTGGAAACGCTCGCGAGCGTTCGCAAAAGGCCTCCATCTCGACCCCCTCACAACAACACGAAAGAGCGGGCACCAGAAAAACAGCAACTATTTGTGTTGCCACTGCTACTACGTAGTATTCGCATTACCATGACAGCTGCGATTGATCGCACCCTACCGTAGTCATCGTCCTCCTCCCCTCCTCCTCCCCTCCTCGTCATCTTTCACATCTTCATCGCCCTCCTACCCCATCCCCCTCCTCCTGCACCATCATCCCCCGCCCCCCTCCTCTTCCTCATCTGTCCCCTTCTCTTCTTCCCCACCCTCCTCCACCCCTCCTCAATCCTCCTCGTCCGACTCCTCCGAATCCGACTCCACATCCTCCTCCCGTTTCTCCTCCTCCTCCGCCACCTCTTCCTCCTCCTCTTGTTCTCTTCTTCCTCCTCTTCTTGTTCTCTTCCTCCTCCTCCTCCTCCTCCTCCTCCTCCTCCTCATCGTCATCATCATCATCATCATCATCATCATCGTCCTCCTCCCCCTCAGTGCTTCAAACGTCTCCAAGCGCGTTAGAAGCACGCTGGGCACTTCTGAAAGCATTCTGAAAAAGTCCCCCAAGCATTCTAGAAGCTCTTTGGAAGCGCTCTGCGAACGTTTGCGAGCATTTCGCAAGCACTCCGGGTACTGTTGAGGCACGTTACAAACGTTTGAGAACGTTTGCAATCACTTGGACACGTTTCCGACATCTCCCGGGCACTTTGGAAAAAATGCGCGAACGTTCGCGAGCCTTTTGTGGGCACCTGGCACCTTCGCCACAAGTATCCTGGAGGCACTTAACAAACATGTAGTCACTTTGGAAGTACTTCCAGGCACTTTGCAACACCTGCGAGCGTTCGCGCGCGCACGTCGGAGGCACATTTGGGCACCTTTTGGTTACTTGCGCACTTCTC